AAGTGCAATACCACAATAATGACTGCTATCTTCTTTCTTGAACATGGTTACAATTCTGGCATTTTTCAAGTCACTGGGAATCTGCTCACATTTCCAGAATTTCATAATAATAAAATGTAGTTGATGAGAGTTTTTTGCACCTTGCTTTTCAGCTGGTATTCCATCAGAACCATATACTTTGTTTTTCATCTGCTTAATGGCTTACAAGGCCACTTGATAAGTTGTTGTATCTGCAAGGTATTCCTTAATGGGGTGTTGTGGAATGGCTTTCATGTTGGAGTCTTGGTTCAGGAGCTCTTGAAAGTGGTTCTTCCAACATGCATTGATGATGGAGGTGCCTTAAGGAGTGTTGTTCCATCCTTGGACATCAGAGGAATGGCTTCTTGTGTGGTTAGCCCATAGATAACTTTGGTTGCACTGAAGAAACTATGTGTGTTGTACCTGTCAGCAAACTTTTGAATCTTGTTTGCTTTGTCCTTCCACCATTTGTTCTTTTGGTCTCAATTATTCCTCTAGGTCTCAGTTTTAATGTGGTGATAAGTGTGTTGCTTCTGTTTAAAGTTAATGTCTTTCTGCCAAACTTTGAGGGCTCTTTTTCTGTCAATGGGAGATTGTATTTCCCGACAATTCTCATCAAACCAGTCATGATGTTTCTGTGCAGAAAAGTCTAGAGATTCTTTGTACACCTCCTGGATGCCTTTCTTGAGACTTTTCTAGTAATCAATGGTGTTGAGATCATCAGGGAGATCAGAGTTTTTCATTGAGGCACTAGGAGATGGTTGCTTTTAGCAGTCTCAAGCACTCAGTATTGAACCCCTCTTTCTTGGTTGTTTCTTTTATTTACATAATTTTTGGGGAATACAAATGGACTGTATCAAATGATGATCCATCCAACAGTTGCCTTCATTGGTTATAGATTTGGTGATATGGACATCACAAAGGTCCTGAACACACACTATGATGTAGTCAATCAGGTGCCTGTGTTTGAGCAGGGGTTCATCCATGATGTCTTTCATTTGTTGTTATGGCAGAATAAGGAGTTTGTGATGATGAGATCATGTTCCAAACACTTGTTGAGGAGAATTGCATTTGAATTGACTTTCCCAATCCCTTCCTTTCCAAGTGTTCCTTTCCATAGCTCAGAGTCCCTACCCACTCTAGCACTGAAACCACCAAGAATAATTATCATATCTTCTTTGGGGATAGATGACAGGACATGGTTGAGTTTAGAATAGAATTCTTGTTTTATTTTATCATCTACATAAAGGGTCGGGGAATACACACTGCTAAATGTTACATGTGATCTATTGGTCAATTGAACACAAAGGATCGTGAGATGATTACTGATGCCAAATGGACATTCCAGCATGTTAGTGACAATCTTGGTCTTGATAGCAAAACCAATGCAATGGATGTGTCTGTCTTTTTTCTTCTTTTTCTTTCCAAAAAAGGTGTAGCAACCACCATGCTCTGTGAACTGCTATTCTTTTGCATGTCTGATCTTACTAAATGCAGAACTTGTCAATATCAAATTGTTCAGGTTCTCTAGCAGCGAGTGCTGTCTTTCATTCTGGTCAATCACTGTTAGGGTTATCCATCAGAATGAGCATGTTTTAGGTTGCAAACTTCATTACTTGATTTGGACCATAGATAAAGTGATCCCACTGGACACTTTTTTTTTCAGTCAGGTGAAATAAGATGGATTATGTTTAGGGCACCTTTACTAGCTGCCTCCTCATACAGTGTGAGAAGAATGGATCCTAAATATGCCTTCTCAGTCATGATTGCAGATGCCAAATATCACACCTGTCTCAGTTCCAAGCACAGTATGATCATCATACAATCATTGCTTCCATGTAGGTCTGTGGCTAGAGGCTTCCAGTAAGCACTGGTGCCTGCCCCTGTTGCCACTCACCCACTGCCATAGGATTTGCTATTGAAGGAAGATATCTGTGCACGTCTTCTTTTAATGTGGACAAGTTGTTGCACATCAGCACCACAGGAAGGAAACCTTAATCCAATAGCAAGGAAAACCTAGATGACCAGACATTTCTATTCTGCTGCAGCCTTCATCGCTGTTGCAGCTGTTATGAAGTACTAGCCAATTGCCCATCAGGAATGACGGGGGGGCGGGGGTTGTAAGGCAGGCAGGTACAGAGTGCTGCCACCCACCACCCCAAGCTGCCGCCGCCTCCCAGGAGCAGGGGTTGGGGGGAGAAGGGGAAAGTTTTCCTCGCCATCTCCTCCAGCCCTCTCGGCCAGCACCTCATGCTGCCACTGCCTCCAGGGATCAGAACTGTGGGGGAGGAAGGCCAGCATCACTGGCCTTGCTCCCCCACTCCAGCTGCTCTGTCCCCACCATCATGGCAGCATTCCATTGTGCTGCAGCCGCCTCCTGTCTGGAACACTCTTGAAGCACTCTGATTGGTTGTTTCAGATAACCAGAGTGTGAATAAAGCATTAAGGACAGACAGACAGACAGACTAAGGATTTTATAATATTAGAATTCTCTCTTCATCCACTTGCTCTGCTGTTGAGGACTCTTATTTTTATTTTTAGATTGTTATTAGTCTAGAAACCTTGCTTTTGACCTTGCCACCATGGTTGACCCTACCACAAGTACGAAATTCCAGAGGGCATCACTCTCAAGGTTACTGAAAGCACATACCTCTCCACCATATTCAAGGTTGCATTCCATGGGATGGTTCAAAATGACTTGAAGCCTAACTTTCCATAGCTTGACTTGTGTGGACATTTAACTTGTGCCAAATGGGTAAATGCTGTCATTCTAATTTTGTCATGTATTATAGTTATGCTGATGCAGGTGCCAATAACTGCACAAGGTATATAGGTAGTAGAAAATCAGACCTCGTTTTGCAAACAACCTCAGCAGAATTAGGCAGCACATAAACTCAGAAGCCAGAATGGTGGACTTACTTCCTTTCCCCCAAGCTGGGTTTATCACCTCTTTTTACATAATGAGGTTTTTCATCTTGCATGTGAAAAAGAGCTTTATTTTCAAACACAGTTATTAAAATAAGTTCTTTTTTCTTGGGATCCACAGTTCTGCACAAAAAAATATCTAATATTTGCAGCAGCAGTAAATTGGCTCAGTATATGCTATTAATCTTTACTTCTAGCTGAGCCAATTCATCTGTCAGATGAGCCATAGGTTTAAGTAACTTGGGGAAATGTTTTCCAAATTCAAATGCAAAGTGTGTGCACCAGAGATATTTTGAATGCTCACACAGCCTCAAATGCCACAAAGTTTGAGCAGCCCAAGATGACAAGTAGTTAATTACAAGGTCATATCACATCAGTGACAGTAGTGAAGAGATCATTTCTGTTCTTCAGCGGTGAAGCACTTCAGCGATGAATAGATCGTTTCTACAGATATAAAAACTGGGAATCTGTTTTCTGATTTATTGCATGTAATACAAATCTAATATAATCAGAGGAAGGTACCAATTCTTGTATCCCTGGTTATCAGACCTTAAGCAGGGAGGGGCTGGAAGTATTTAAAGGGAGTGAGTGAGATTAGTCTCCAAATAGATTTAATACTTTAAAAATTATGTCTGACAAGGGAGGCTTTGCCCTTCCATTTGCCAATATTTAGGTAGAGAAAACACAGATTAATTCCAGTTATTCCTCTATTTCTGATTAATCCAAAGTATAGACTACATCCTAATCACTTTCTCATACCTAAGTGGCAGTTTCCTGGCTGTATAATTACAATTTGTGGCATTCATGCAGAGTGCAGATCATATTTGTACATTTGGCAGCACAGGATCATCCTGCACATGTACCTTCCAGAGGAGGAGGAAGGGAGATCTACCAATTTTTTTGTCTAATTCTTGGGGCAGTTGCCCAGGGATCAGAAGACTCAAACTCTAAATGCTTGCTCAACTGGAGTGCGTTAGAACCTACATCTGCTGATTCTCAGCAAAATGCTTTAAGCACCAAGCGATGGGCCAGACATTATCTAAAGCAGGGATTCTCAGCCAGGGTGCTATGAGATCTTTTGAAGGGTGCTGCAAGATATGGGGAGATAAACAGGTGTGAGGAGTTAAGTGTAGGCTCAGGCTAGTCCCTACCTGGCTGCTGCCCTGCCTCCACTCCTGAACCCGTCTACAAAGAGTTAAGCACTGTAATAAAAAAAATAGTTTTTTTTTAATTAAATAGGGATGCTGCTCAATTCACAGAAGTTATGGAGAAGCGCTTTGACTGAAACAAAGGGTGACTCACATGTAAAAAGCTTGAGAACCATTTATCTAAAGTGCTTCCCAGCACTACTCTTGAAGCTGGCCCACTGGGTAGAGCACATCAGATGGAGAGTTTTTCAGTTAGAATAACTGGACATGATGGACATCAGGTTCTTGCTGGGGCCTCTGCTCCCAATGAGGCAGAAACTATCCTAAATTTGCTTATCCATTTTATCCAATGACTATTAAAGGTACAGTGCAGGAAGTCAACTTTAAGGGGAGGGCTAGAAACAGTTCCGGACAGTGCTTAGGCCATGGCCTGATGGTTAAAGCACTTTGCTGTGAAGTGGAATATGAAAGATTTGAACCCTTTTTGGGTGAGAAGGACTTAGAACCTAAGTCTCCTGTTCCCTGGGGAAGTCTCCTAACCACTATGATTAAAGAAATGAGGGCTTCTTCTTCTGCTCCCTTCTCTCACTTGTGTTTTTTCTACAACTAAACTTTTGGGACTTGGTTGGCACGGTGAGCATAGCTATACTAAAACCTAAACTGTTCATAAGTGCCAAAAAATGCTGTTTTGCAGTATGCAAGTGGTGTTTAGGTACATGAATTGAAATAGGATCTAGCCCAATGTCTCTGCTTCCAAAGTGGTGTTACATAATTTTAACTTTTCATCAATAACTGAACTTCATATAATATCCATGCTTCCTGGTTTTAACCACTTACCGAACATAGATTTATCATTTTCTAATCCCTATTACAGAGGTTTTCATTAATGGGTCTTTTTGCCTCTTGCAGGTGCCAGTGGTAGCAGTCATGACAACAGGTGGTGGGACAAGAGCACTAACAGCGATGTATGCTCACCTGTTGTGTCTGCAGAAATTGGGTGTCTTGGACTGCATTTCATACATCACTGGTTTGTCTGGCACAACATGGTAAGGCTGAAGTGAACAAAGCTTTCATCTGAAATTTTTTTGTAGTAATTTTTTGTTACTATGAAATGAATTTAAAAAAACATAAAATCTTTACTATAGTGAACTGTTCATTTGTGTTCATTTAAGTAGTTATGCGTGAGTTTGTAGCCTAGTTAAAATGTCTAATGAATATTATCTGCATATGGAAAATCAGAAACTGCTACTGTTTGTGTGTTCCAGAAGCCTTTGTGACCAACAAAAGTACAGTCAACAAGGAGTTTGGGCCATCTGAGGTGGCTTTTTCATGTTTCCTTTTTTAGATAATTACCAGTATTTGGTACAGATTTATCCATGACTGATATAACACTGGGAGGGTAACAAAATTTACTAGGGAGATGACAACAGCAAAGGCAACAGTCAACAAAGGGAGGCTTGGTGCTAATAACTGGAGTGCTCTATGCCTCCAACTTGAATATTATATGGAATGTTGTAATCAAGCAACCACACATATGAAAGCAAAAGTGTTTCCATATAGTGGTGTTAATACTATTTCATTGTTATTTTTAGTGTAACCAAGCAATGTTGTTGCTATGTGGGAAGTGTAAAATCAGGATTGGGGCAGGTAGTGTCCACAAGGAGTTTATATCTACATTGGCTTACTGCATGAAGAAGTTTGAGAGTCACTGTTTTAAAGCACTGGTGAGGAAGATAAGGCCTGTGGGTCAGATCTAGCCCATGGAGCTGTTTCAACCAACCCACAGGACTCCCCACAGGTCTGGAAATTCGGTGGTGGTAAGGGGTGACAGTGTTAGTTGCTGCATCTCCTTGAGTCTTAGCAATTGAGGCTGCTACCTCCAATTTCCAGTCCTGTGGGCCAGGTGATGAGACTCCATGCTCTGAATCCAGCCCAGACCATCCCCATGCTACTCATTGAGCCCCATGCCACTCATCCACTCATGCAAGGCTGGATGAGTTGGGCACCAGTGTTCTACAGTATACTACTTAGGTTGATACCCACCCCACAGTGATCTTCCAAAAAAAGACCTCTTTGACAAGGTTTTTCTATTATTTTTTCCTATTTGGGTTTGCTATATCTCTAGCTAAAATACAATTAATGGAAAATAATGGAAATTCCTCCCATCCTTCCTCTCCCAGACATAATCACTGGGGAAACTCCTGTAGGTTTTTATCTTCTATGTGCACATAAGCAGAAATGCCACCCAGTTTGCCAGAGATTATACAACTTATTTTTCTGGACATCAGCAGAATTCCAGAAATGGATTCCTAGGCCGCATCTACACACATTGCTGACTGCTCAGTAGTTCATTACTACTGTACAGTAGCATTGCATGGCACAAAGCATGATGTGATGTTACTGCACAGTAGTAAGGAGCTACTGCACAGTCAGCGTCACCTAAAAGCCATGCAGTGACCGTACTAGACGAGTAACTCCAGTTACTGAAAAGTCATTTAGTACTTGTCTATACAAGTATTAAATGACTGCACAGTAACAACTGCACAGTCAGTGTCTCATGTAGATGTGGCCCTAGGTTCTCTTTCTAGTTGTAGGACTGTAATTTACTGTAAAAATCAAAGTAGGGGGTGAAGAATTCTGCCTCCTGAATTCTATATTTTTGTTAAAGGTGCTCTGTATTTACATAATGATACATACTAATGTATGATTTACATCTACATCATGATGCATACATAATGATATATAATAATATATACATGTATCCTCTCAGCATTTATCATATCCAAATACATGGATCTGACATTCATTTTAGAAGCAGTGTACTTTGGTCTGCTGTATTAGAGACCATGATTCTACCCTCTGTTCTGCTGGAGATAACCTTTGGCAGCATATTATATCCTTTATTCTAAGCCACTGAAAACAGAACATTAAAAAAAGTGTTAAATAAGCTTAAGTAAAAGTCCACCTACAAAAAAAGTTATAATACAAATAGCTATAAAGCAACCCAACTCAACCTTTCAGGCAAAAATGTGAGACCAGATACATTAGAAGCTACACTTCTGAAATTCATGAACCCTTTGATAAGCCTGGGACTGTGTATGAAGCAATTCTAGGCCCATTTAATAGCCATTATAGGACATTCAGTGTTTTCGATTAAATTTCCAGAAATGTTCATTGAGTTTCCTTCAACCACCAAAGAAAACTTCAAGTCCACCTATATAATTTCAAATCAAGGCATCATTCACAGATCTCTGTAAATCATAGAACTCTAATTTTGAACCCAATTTTTCCTTATATTTCCTATCTCTAGGACCATGTCAAATTTATATGAAGATCCTGACTGGTCACAGAAGGACATGGAAGCAACACTCAAGGATGCTCGAAAGCACGTTCTCAAAAACAAGCTTACCTCCTGCTTTTCTATTAGTCGTCTAAAATACTGTTTAAAAGAACTGTATCGGCGGAGTCAAGAGGGATACGAGATATCTTTTACAGATCTGTGGGGACTTATCATTGAAGGTCTATTGCATGATGGGGTACTGTGTGTTTTGTTGCTGTTCCTAATAGTTCAATTTTTTATTTTCCAAGGAATATTTCTAGAACCTAACTTGTTTTCAGTACTGGTAATTTTTTGAAGGGATTGATTTTTACATTTTCAAAAATGAATTGTGCCTCATAAGATTTACAGTGTGAGCAACATGACCAATAAAAACTGGCAACATAAAAAAAAACAAACTAAGAAAACAAAACAGAAATTTCATTGTATGACTAACAGAATCTTTTATTTTTCTTAACCATTTAATTAAAAAATTCTATCTTTTTCAAGTCCACAGAAAAACTCATATTTTTTCAAATATATCTTTATTTCCACATTTTGCAAAATCCATTTAAAAAAGAAAGGTTGAAGTATTCAGAATTCCAATTGAGTTCTATGGCAACACAAGAAAAGTATTTCATGAAGGCTTGGGCACACAGATGTGTCTAGCACCTTAGTGTATTAGCAAGATCTCTGGTTCCCAGAACTCAATTCAGCCTGAAGAAGGGCAGGCAGTGTTGGCAGCACTAGTGTTCCTCTAGACTCTGGAGTGAAAGGAACAGGTGCAGTTTTTAGGAGACTCAAAATAAGCATGCTATCCTGTCACTTTGGCACTTAGCACTGTTCACCTACTCCTTTAACCAATTGTGAATTTAGAAGGCAATGCAACAGAAAGAGTTAGATTCTGTCCACTCTAAATTGAACCATGTAGGGTATCAATAGATCACATATTTACCAAGAGAAAGGCTTTTGTGCCAGAATCCTACAGATTCTAGTGCTGCTAACACTGCCTGCCTTTCTTCAGGCTGAATTCAGTGCAACTTCAAATACTTGTAGAGTATGCCAGATCAAATGTGCTAAGAATCCCCCCTACAAAACAGACGCACGTAAATAGCAGCTCATTCAAGTTACTTGCTAGTCATTCCAAGGACAAGCCTGTTGGACTGTGCACTCTCTCTGCCCTCCGAGCAGCAATAAAGAATGGAAGGACTACATGGGTAAAGGGCTGTGCAGCTCCTTGTTTTGACTCCAGTCAATCAGGACCACATCAAATGAGATGTCTGTTTACAGCCATAGAGTTACCCTACCTGGATTTAAATCTCTCATACTTGCTCACAGTCTACATTTTCATACATGTTTCTTTTGCACAAAGTGTTTTAAGTTTCTTTTTTGATGTTTTCTAAAATAAGTAATGTGAAAAATGGTATTTTTCACAAGTGTAATCTTAGATTCATTCAGGGAAGAAAACAAAGCTGAGTTTTATTTCTGAACACTTTAGAAGCATTCAATTAACAGGACTATTCAAATGCTTGCATTTAAGCACTTGCTTAAACAATAAAGAGAATGAGGGACAGAGATCAGCACTTTGAGGACTAAGCCCATAGAGAAGAGCCTGGCTAGAACCTAGCTCTCATTCTGCTTTAATGTTTCTATCTCAGATTTAGTCAAAGCTTCATGTGTTATTTACATTTTCCTGAGTTACTATCTTTTTTTAAAACAGGAAAACCATCATAAACTCACAGATCAGCAACAAGCATTAAATCAGGGTCAGAATCCTTTGCCCATATACCTCTGCCTCAATGTGAAGGAGAAAATGAGCAATCAGGATTTTCGAGGTAATAATTATGTTCTAGAATTATATGTGGCTCAGTGCCATAAGTAGGATGGGGCGACTAGGGTAGCTGTCTGGTACCAACTTGGTGGGGCGAGAAAAATTGGCTGCTGCTGCAGCTGCACCATCATACCAGCGGTGTGGCAGCAACCAGAAGCCACTGCTGCTCTTGTGAGAGGCAGGTGCCCTGGGTTCCTGGCCACATTATTGTGCCTCTGGTTTGGCTTAAAATCAAACATGATTCAGTTTAGGATTAGGCAAATTTGTTCATTTCATTCAAGATTCCTCAAATTAAGTTGCTGAAAGCAGAACTTACACTGTTTTATGAGTAAAATATGTATGTCTGTATATTTCCAGCTTGTCTGGAAAATGTGTACTACAGTGGAGGCTTTTATCACAAGATTATCCATCCCTCACAGATACAGGAAGTGCCAGAAATCTCATGAGCGTTCCGTGCATCTCTTAGTATAAAGGAGAATTTGTTCTCCACACTTATCACTGTAACATGTACAGTGACTAAAAGTGCAGTTACAGAATATGGTAAACTAGTTTGTCATGAAGAGGCTGAAACCAAAAGTCTTATTCTATTGTTAACTCTGAGTCTCAAAACAGTTTTTCTGTGTACTCATGATCAGATTACTGCAGTCTCTCTTGTGTTCTGTCTTTAGAATGGGTGGAGTTTACCCCTTATGAGGTTGGATTCCAAAAATATGGAGCCTTCATTCCTGCAGAGCATTTTGGAAGTGAATTCTTCATGGGCAGAATGATGAAGAAGCTCCCAGAATCCCGTATCTGCTTCTTAGAAGGTGATTTGTTTCCTACAAACTGTAATGCTGATGCTACATTGCCGTAGCATCTAAAAATAACTGCTGTGCCACCAGAACTGCATAATACTACGCAGTCATTTAGTATTTGCTAAACCACATACTAAATGACTGCTCAGTACCAAATGTGCAGTCCCAGGCATGTGAAGATGTGCCCAATGTGTAATATAAACCACTGACCAGCAAGCCACTTTGTTATGTTGACAGCAATTGATGGAATCTCATTTTTCAGAAAGTGCTTATGGTCACATATTAGAATGAGTAACAGGTCACTCACTATCTGTAGGCTTTTAAAAATCTCCCTGTCATTATTTCATCAGATTTATTTAATTTCACTGCAAGACGTATGCAATACTATACACCTTTATTTCAACAACAAATGTTGTATAACATTGCAGTTTACTTAAGCATGAGTTCCTTCTATAGTTCAAATCTCTAAGTTTAGGTTCTTACATAGAATAGACGTACTGGTGATTTACAGCTCTGCATAATCCAGCAATATAACATTGTGTATGCATATTAATGTATAATGCAGTAATATTCTGAATTTAATATGAAACTGTTCTGAGGAACAGCTTTGGTACATAAGGTATCCCATAGATCTTTACAAATTTAAAGAAAATAAATACTGAAATCATAACAAGAATTTTTTTTACAGAAACAGACAGGAGAGAGAAATCAGACTGTGTATATTTCCAGATGATGTTTGAAATGAGCTGTAGAGTAGATGAAGCAGAAGAGGCTGCCAACATGTGGAGGATTAGCACTTAGTGGGTGTATTGACACATATGCTTTACTGCAGAGTCAACTAATTAGCTCTACAATAAAGCATCACCATCTGCATGTGCACCCCTATTAGGGCACAATAAATTAATTAACTCCACTGCAGGATAGTACTGTCTGGGACAAGGTGGAGTCATTTAGTGTACCAAAACACACGTATAAAAATGACTGGGGCTGGCTAGGGCTTGAGGGTGCTACAGTTCAAGGGCTGCCTGCTGTCTAGCCCCACACTGCATGACCCTTGTGCCCCAGCCAGGCCCTCTACAGCACACTGAGCCAGGGTGGAACAGCTCCGGACTGGCAGGCTAACCCTTCGGGGCGTCCCCCGTCAGCTGGGGCTGCTCCAGCCCTGCTCAATGTACTGCGATCCTGGGTGCATATGTAAATTCTGCACCAGGGAGCAATAAACTGTGGCACAAACTAAACCGGAGTTTATTGCTATGTGCAGATTGCATGTGTAGCTGCACCTACATGTGCGGAGTAGACTAATTAGCTCCATAGTAAAGCATCGCCATCTACACATGCACCAGTATTAGGGCACTGTAAACTAATTAACTCCATCATAAGATAGTACTGTTGGGGACAGTACTATCTTACAGCAGGGCAATTTACTGCACTGCAACACACATGTAGACAGTAACCGCAGGTGTAAATTGTGCTTAGTTAGCTCAGCCAGTTGGGAGGCTGCTCTGCCCTGGCTCAAATTGCTGGTGTCCCAAACACACACATAAGAAGTTGCACCCCAAAGCAGTTTACTCTGCCTCAGACAGCTCCAGAGTTTAGTGCTTTGCCTTAATTTCACATGTAGATGCACCCACTATGTTTAACTTGAAAAATGTTTTGAGCATGTCTGTACAGTCAAAAGATCATACTAGATAGCACTGGAGTGATATACAGTACACCTACTCCACCCTGAAATGAAGGCAACGTAGATACCTTCAAATGTCATTCTACCTGTAGGAATAACCATGGCCAAGGCAAAAAGGTTCTGGCACACACCCACTACTGTCTTGTGGGTGGCCCTATAGCATTTGTCTGAGCTATGAAGCATGGTATCCTGCTTCATGGCAGTACTTCCTAGGATAGTCCTTTGAGGCCCTTTATGTTTTGGCAGCACAATAAAGATGGGAAAATCATTTTTCATTTGTTTCATTTTTATTTAGTGTAGAACTCTGTAAACGTCTGTAACATGGTTCAATAGCTGTCCTTTGCTTGAGTAGACTGGAATTTATTAAGAACATAAAGTGCTTAGGAACCAGTGACTATCAGGAATAAAGCTGCCTTCCAACTGTCATCTTTTTTCCTGGCAGATACAGCGTAAAGCACGGATGTAATATAAACCTTCTTCAGGCAGCCTCTGAATTTCCGTAAAATTTCCGCTTTGGTGGGGTTAACTGCTCCATTTTCCCACTCTCGGCATTTTGTTAGTTCACTTTACTCCTCATCAGTGGTATAACTTGGGCAGGGTGACCAGGGCAACCTCCCCAGATGCCAGCTCGGAGAGGGGGAGAAAAAACAGCTGCAGCTGGCAGTCACCCAATCATGATTACAATTGTGCCAGTGGAAGTTGCCCCGACTCTGCAACTGGAAGTTGCCCCTGTGCCCTGGATGCCAGACCATGTTGCTAGGCTGCTGCTCCTGGCAATGTGTGATGTTCAAAAATCACTCAGAGCCAAGGAGTCTGACATGGTATCTGAGTTTGAACTGATCAGTAGTGCATGCACAACATGAGACTCCAACCAGCAGTCCCTTCTGGCTTATGCTATACCTCTTAAAGGTACAGTTTCCTATGCTAACACTAATTTGGGGGTATGGTATTTGAGGGTAACATTCTGAAAGGTTTTTGAGATACTAGATTTGGATCATCCTAGATATGGAAAAATAGCTCTAGAAAAATGAATTATAAGAGGATTATACTGTGAACCCCTCAAAGGATGGGGTCCCTCCTTTTTGACAGCAGCCAGCAAAATAATGAACACTAAAGAAACGCACAGGGGGAGTCAGAGAAAAACAGATATTTCAGGATGAAGCTAATCCAGTCTCCTGTAGCTCTGTCACATCTGTTATGTAGCCCTGGTTTTTACACGGCAGTAACACAATGCCATCTATCCACCCACAGTCACCCTACATTTTAACAGAATAGCTGGCTTGTGCTGTAGACTGACCAGGTCCAGTCCCCTCTTCCTCATGCTCCTCCTGGAAACTGAGACCCATGGGATACTTCTACTTGTCCTGTGCACCTCTGTTTTTGGGAGATGCAGTGCACAGTCAAATTGGGAATGGTGGCACTATAAGCTTGCTTTCCTGCCTACTTTAATGTTATCAGAGAACCGTAATGAGGCAGGAGGGCATGCATGTGTTGAAGCCATTTCCATGCTGGCTGTACACCCTGTGTGTGGGACCATTTTACCTTGCAGCAGCAGCACCCAGTTGGGAAACACCGAGATAAGTTGAGCGTGGCAATGGCTTTCAACTGGGGATACCACCACATTAAATAAAGTAGTGGAGGAATGACATTACTTCAAAAAGGTTGAGAACTACTGATATAAAGGGAGTTTCAGGTTATTGTTATGAAATGTAATGCAGTTAAGACTATTTGTCTGTGTGGAGCTTTCACAGCAGCCACAAGAAAAGGCTTTCAGTGAGAGAAGCAAACTGCTTTTATGCTGTGAACACCCAGAACAGAGTGGGTACTGACTGATTTAGGTCATTTGACCTGTAGCTGCATTCAGCAACTGTCTGGAATGCTTTTGTGGGCCCACTTTGTTACTCCAAGTTGATAATGTGGCATGTGTTCTCGCAGCTGTTCAGAAAGATATTTCTTACTGGCAGTCAGGCCAAAATGTTTTCTGTAATGTAAAATGTTCAGTAATCATAGTAATAGTATTCAGAAATAGTATTTACAAGCTTGCCAACAGGTGCTGGTTTATTGCATAATTTTTTGTATGCGTCTTAAAGTCCCAGCTCCTTGGAGGTATGTGAATAGGTGGGAGGCTGTCACTTAAAACAATAAATTTCCAGTGCCCATGCTTGCAGAGAAAATTTTGCAAATGTGACCCAAGTTCATCCTAGAAACTCAAAAATCAGAGAGCAAATAATCACTTAACATTTATATTTTTCAATCTCATAATTTTTATGCCTTTAAAAGTATTGGCAAAGCTTATCCCTAGCAGAAACACAGTCCAACTAAGTAAAAAAATTGGAATTCATACTTCATACTCAAGTCTTGAAAATAAATGGTAAAATCTTATGATCTGCTTAATAGAGAAGCTGTTTGTATCATGACAGTGATACTGAATTTATAAACTTATGAAAAATACCACATAAGCTGTTCTTGCACATAGTGCTATAGGTAGATAGTGCTCTTCATATTAACTAGCCAAATATGCACACGTGTGTGTGTATGTATATGTATGTAAACTATATAAATACACTTTAGAAGCATTCAGTTAACAGGACTATTCATATGCTTGCATTTAAGCACTTTTTAAAGCAATAAAGAGAATCAGGGACAGAGCTCAGTACTTCAAGGACTAAGCCCATAGTGGAGAGCCTGGCTAGAACCTAGCACTCAGATGTGTGTGAGAACAAGTACTTTTTATATGGAAATTTAGCAAAAACATGAAAAAAATACTACCAAAGGAAATTCATTTAACATTCTTTCAACAGTTTACCATATTGCTTTCTATCAAATTTCTTTTGTGTCACAGGGATCTGGAGTAGTGTTTTTTCCTTGAATATTCTGGATGCTTGGTATATATCTGTCCATTCAGAAGAGTTTTGGCACAGATGGACCAGAGACAGAATTATTGACATAGGTCAGTTATTTTTACATTGTATTGCTATTTTACTTTTTCTTTCACCTGTTGATTTTCTTTTCCTGTTTGCTGCTACACACTTAGCAAAAAATTTGGAATTTACTTTAAAGATCTATTGAGGAGGTGAATTCCTCCAAGCTTATAGTGCAGAAGAAAGCAGGCCTTTCTACTTCGAATCGATTTGGACATGGGTGTCTGATGCCTCTTGAGTTAAGCAAGAGCACGTTTCCCCCCTGACACCAGTCAGCCACCGAGGGGGTGGGGGGGGAAGTCCCCCAGTGGCCGATCCCACTGGCCAGGGGGGAGTCCCCCGGCAGCCCATGCCGCTGGCCCGTGGGGGGCCGGCAGCCAATGCCGCTGGCCAGTGGGGGTCCCCCAGCGGCCAATCCTGCTAGCCACAGGGGCACCGATCTCACTCACCATAAAAGTGGCCATGCCACTTCCAGAGCTCTGCAGCCCCTTCTGGAAGCAGTGCAGACACTTTTGCTGGCAGCCCTGCTCCCCGGCCAGCATTTGCAGGGGGCGCACTGGTGCTCCTGCCTGCCCCCTGCCCGCCGGCTATACAGGGAGCGTGGCCTGACAGGGGGTGCACCAGTGCTCTCAGGAGGTGCATGTGCATCCCCCACTACCCCCTACATGTCGCCTCTGGATTTGAACCTTTTTATTGGTCCCTTGATTCAATTTGGATTTGGAGATTCGGCCACTGAATCAGGTCAAATCTCCTCCGAATCAAATCACCACCCGAAGCTTTGCATAGCCCTAAAAGAAAGCTATGTCCTGTGTGCAGTTCAGCAATAATTTCTGTTGCTTAAGAAGCACAACCAAAGGGGTTTCCAGAAAAAGAAAACCCTTAGTTTAATCTTCCTCCTTCCCACTTCAACTAAGTAAATAAAAAGGATTTAAATAAAGGAGAACAAGTGAATAAGCTGCCAAGAGCAGTTGTATAATCTCCTTCGTTGGAGGTTTAGGAGAAGCTAAATAGGATGATTTAGGTATAGCATACCTGCATCTGTGTGTAGGGTTTGACTAGATGACTTAAAAGAACCTGGGATAACAAGGACTAACAGCCACGAATTGATTGAGAGCAGGTTCAGACTTGATGTCAGGAGGCATTACTTTACGGTTAGGGCTGCCAGGTTCTGGAATCAGCTCCCAAGGGAGGTGGTGCTCTCCCTACCTTGGGGGCCTTCAAGAGGAGGTTGGATAGATATCTGGCTGGGGTATTATGATCCCAGCACTCGGTCCTGCCCAGGGAAGGGGGTCAGACTTGAAGATCTGTTTAGGTCCCTTCGGACCCTAGAAATCATGAAATTAGTCCTGTAGTCTTCAGACTTAAATGTACATCTCTTTTTCAGATTCATGGAACAAAATCTAACATTCTTGAGCATCTTGGCAATGCAGCCAATGCCCCACTTACAATTATTTCTACACCTGAGCTAATGTTCACTTGAGTTAATGTGTCCCTGCCTGAGTTAATGTTTTTACCTAGAGATAAAAACAATCTATGAGCTGTAAAATAGGAAATACATTACCAGAAGCAGCTAACAGATAGCAGAAGAAAGGATAGCTTGATTAGTGGAACATTAAGACCATTAAAATGGAGAGAGGGTCTTCAATACTCGTGGAATTAAAAGCTTAGAAGGAATTAGGTAGAGTATAATGAGCCATGAAGTCAATTGACTCTGTCACTGCTGCCTGAATAGAAATGTTGATGCCACTACCAGGCAGCTGTTTTTAAACTTGGGGTGAAAAAAGAATCAAGAGAGGTGCAGCTGCACCACAGCAGCCCACCTGGATCCACCCCTGAATCTATACTACAGATGAGGGTATGGAGATGGAAGAGAATTGCAACAAATAACCTTATGGGTTACCTGCTTATATTTGCAAGCAGTAACTTGTTGTTTCCAGTTGTTGTCAGAATACGAATAAAGAAATTGGCAGTGCTTGAAAAAGATATGAGCCTTGCACATGGACTGAGTGTATGCATGTGCAGGAGGGCAAAAAGAAGGGAGGGAGGACAGGAGTGAGATGCATGGCAAAGGTGCAGGAGGAAAAACTGGTTTTGGTACAGGGTACTAAATGGGGTAAAGTCAGAGATAAAGAGGAGGAAATTACCAGCAGTCGAATAAGAGCTTTCAGTGAGTACTTTGAGAAGAAGGACAGATTTGGGGAAGGTTAGAAGAATAAGCAAACAGATTAGAGAGACTGTATATAAGGAAATAAATACGTTAAAACAAACCCCAACATCTGGTCTGGTCTGGTATATTGCAGTATGCTACACTAACTTATGGCGCAGGATTCCCCAACAATGAATCCCGAAATAACAATTCTTTCATATCATTCCTTCTGCAGAGGAAGAGTCTGTTCTGCCTCCAAGGCCAAATGAGCTGGATACTTGTGTGGTTGTTCCCCGAGATAGCTTTTCAAACATTTTACGAGATCTGGTTCTGTTGCGGCCTGCCATTTCAGAAATCCACAATTTTCTAAAGGGCTTCCATATGCATGACGACTACCTACTGAATAAGTTTTCTATCTGGAAAGGTATGGCAATAACATTGTGTTTTAAGAAGTATTTTTACATATTGGCTTGGAGTTCAACATTTTTGGAGGAGATCTGAAAGTAAATGGAGTTACTTAAATGTCTACACTAGTTTCTTTGTGAAGAATCTCAGAGGGTAGTTCTGCAGGTAGCAAGATGTGGTATGACGGTTTTAACTTTGTGAGTATGGATGGATCTGTTATCCAGCAGTGGGAAAACAATGCATTAGTTGTGTTAATCATTACTGTATTCCAGCAGTATCAAGATTTGCCAAGTGCTGCCACAACATTTAAGAGACTGAAGTCTCAGCTCCCCAAACAAGTGCCTGTAAAACCTTTTTACTGTGATTCTGGAATTCTGTGCTTAAACATCAACTCTGGATCTTCCAATAGTCTTTCTTTTTATCCCAGACCCCAGTCATAGTCTGGTCTCTTATCAGAGACTCTGTTCCGCAAAGTAACAAAATTTGATTTTCAGTTTAGTTTCAGTCCCTGAGTCTTCCATAGTTGCACCTTCTTTTTGTCCCTTGTTTAAAAAACCTATCCTACAACTGGTTCTGTTCTGGAATGCAGTACTTATCAAATTTCTGTAATCTACATTTTTAGATGGCCCTTTCCACTTCAGTGAACTGAAAACTTGTTAAACACATTCAAAACCATCTTTTTTTAGAATTTTTTAGCAATCTTATGAAAGTCTTCCTTTTTCCTGGTACCCATAACTTGCAGATACAGAGGGAAGAGCCATTTAAACTACGTCCAGTCAACTTCTATATTTTTACTGTGTCAACCCCTGGGTTTAGAAAAGCAAGAAAAAACATTTCTCATACTGGAATTATTACTATTGGTATTACTATTACTACTGTGCATTTTGAAGCTTCTCATGGTCTTGAAATTTTAGCATAAGTCCCATGGGGATGGATTAGTGGCCAGAGGGCAAGCATGGCAGCTGAAGGGTACAGAATACATTCCTTTATCACACTGGTTTGCAATTTATCACGAGTATCTCTTCTATACATGTTATGTGTGTGTGTTTATGCATCAGTTGTAGTTAAAAAGCAGTCTTTTACCTTTTTTTTTAAACGGGTAAGAGACAGATTACTGGCTCTAGCATATTACCCAGCCAATAATATGTTACCTACCAGTGAAAGCATAAATAGAATGTTTAGCTGAAGCAGTTATACACATAAATACCATATTTCCTTACATGCAGTAAGCCCCAGAGTAAGATATGCACCTTGTTTTTCAAAGGCAGAATAAAGGACAAAAAGATCTTTCCTTGTAGTGAGTAACTGAATGGCAGCAGCTAGAGAGTTGAGCCTGCTCATTGTTCTGTTCCCTTTGTATCGGTGCAGACTATTTTTGGTTTTGCCCAGTAAGCAGCAGACTCTGTTCTTACCATATTTCTTACATATGATGTGCACTCAAATTTCCAGCAGCTGTTTTTGGGGAAAAAAGATGCAGGCTGTATGTAAGAAAATATGTTATGATTTGTAACTAAGTATGTAAATGACCTCATTATCATAGTATCAGATCAGTATCATCACATTATCTTTGATCTTTACCCCTACAAAATAAGGAAGTTTTGTTCTCATTTTTTTAATGAAAAACAGAGGCAAAGAGAATTTAAGGGTATCATGTGGATCCAGAGCAGGTACAGTACCATGTTCACACCCCTCTTTCAGAACACACCATGGGAGCAGCAGCTGGGGACTTATTTTAAATACTCAAACTGGGTGAGAATTCCCCCCTTCTTCCCCTCTATGCTCAGTGGTACATCTCCTCCCTGCCCTTCCTATGTCTCCCACACCTCCTATCACTGCTGCTGTCCCCACTTTCCTTGGCTGATCCAGGGGTGGAGAGCTCCAGAGCTGCTTGTACACTGCTCTGGCAGGGCTGTGGGGAAGCCAGGCTCAGCCAGGAACAGCAGCAGCAGCAAACAGGTTCCCTCTCCCTGCCCAGTCTCCCTGGATGTTCCCTGCCAGCTTGGGAGCAGGCTCTGGGAGAGGGAATCTGCTTGCCACTGCTGTTGCTACTGTTGTCCTCAGCTGAGACCAGCTCCCCACCCAGCCTGCCAGGAGCAGCTCTGCAGCTTCCCCCATCCCTGGGGCAGCTGGGCACAGTGGCAGTGGAGAGCAGTAGGGTTAGAATGGAAGGGGAGAGGAAAGGAGGTACCACTGAGCACAGAGGGGTGGGAGTGCCAAGAGCAGGGTGTGAGAGATTCTTATCTGATTCAGGGTCTTTCAAAAAGTCACTGGGCTGATGCTCCTGTAGAATGGCCTGCCTGTCCCAGTGGGGGAGGGGAAGCCAGGAGCAGGGATACACCCATTGCTTCAGTGCCAGTTGCTGCTCCTTCACCCCCTATTACAAAATCCTGGATCCACCCATGAAGGTCCGGTGTATCCCCAGCACTGCTAAGGCAGTAAAGCTTGTGTGTAGATGTGCTCTATGTCAAGGATCTGAAGGAGAACCAAATTCCCTTTCCAAACTCTAACTCTTCACTTTCCTCACAGGAATAGCATACCTGTTTTTGCACTGGCATATGCTCTTGACAAGAACTGTTTTTCTTGTAGATTGTGCACTTGATTCTGTCCCCAACCAGCTGACAGGATCAGAAGACCAACTCTTCCTGATAGATACTGCATTTGTCTTCGAGTCCAGTTACCCACCACTTATGAGGACAGAAAGAAAAGTGGACCTCATTTTGCATTTCAACTACAGTTCAGGATCACAGATAAAAGTGGGAATTATACACTTTCTTCTATAATGTTCTTTCACCAGTGCTTTAGGATTTAGCTGCCAGAATTATTAACTCCCTACTACCAAACAGTGAGAGGGAAATATCTACTTAGGAATCAGCTTGAACTAATAAATTTTCAGTAGTATGAATCAGTGCCAGTATAAACATCTCTAATAAGTAGTAGTGATAGAGATTGCCTGAAATTTCTCTCACTTCTTCAGTGCGTGTGCAATTTAGCAAAAATTAATCTGGGTATATTTAGATTATCTAAATGTGAAAGAAATTTCAGAATTTTTAGATCCTATTTTTAACTTGACACTGAAAATCTGTGTGGGGGGGTGTTTTAGCTACTTTTGAAGAATCTAGGTTTATAATTAATGACTTTATAAGCATTTGAAAATTGCATCTCCTGTTTGGAGGTGGACTTCCTTATATACGCATTAATTCACACCAACTCCTATGTCAGGAAAACTACACATACAGTGCAAGAGTCCTGTTTGAGTGTTTGACGTCCTAGTCAGACACACAGATAAAGACAAAAAAAATCCTGAATGCTTCATCAGGCTTGTAAATATCTCTCTGTACACTGACAGTGGGAGTTGGACTTTTAAGTAAAAACAGCTGGTCCTTTTCTTTTTTTTTCCCTTTCTGTGGTAACAGCCTTTGAGGGAAGCCTCTAAATACTTCTCGAAGCAAGGAATTCCTTTCCCCAAAGTTGTGCCAAGTGAAGATGAAACAAAAAATCTGAAGGAATTCTACATGGTTGGAGATAAAGAGGGCCTAGAAACTCCTATAGTACTGCTCTACCCACTAGTGAATGACACCTTTAGAAACTACAAAGCACCTGGTAAGTTAACAGCTGCCAATCACTTAACTGAAGTCAGCAGGAATAACCTGTCCATCTTTTTAATTCCTACTTTTTATTTCAATCCAATAAACCTTTATTGGCCAAGTATCTGTAAAAGATTTTACTCACTATTGGATCAGGTCTTCTCGACTCTGGAACATATTCCAGACCCCACAATCTCAATTTTTTTAATAGACACCAGTACATCAGATCCATTATAGAGATGTAGCCAGGTTACACACTGAACATTTGTGCCCTTCATTTGGGATTTCCTTGAGTCTTTTTTATTTCATGGATCACCCATCATAAATGAACAAGGTCCTAGGTATACTTTGAGTTTGCAGTGTCAGAAATTAGTATACCTATTTTTTGCTGTACCTCTGATACCTTCTTATGGAAGAAAGGGCTGTAGAATTTATGGTGTACACTTTAAAAATGCTTCCAGGCTTATAGTTATAAAGATAACCTTGAAAATGTAATCCATGTGTAAGCTGATGTAACGATACCAGCTGAAAAAATTACTCTGAGATGTGAATCGCTTCTCTTCACTTCAGTGGGTTCTTGATTCTGAAATCTACAGAGGGCGCTTAAAGGTCAGTATAGCTAATTACTGCAGTGATGATCATTTTTAGCAAAGGTACCCACCTAAACCCTGCAACTTCAGTTTACATCTTTAGGAGTTGAAAGCATCAGTTGCCCCTTGCCCAGGTGTCAAAATCTCTGGATTCCCCTGTGAAAACTTCCAAAACACAGTTATTATTTCTATGAAAATGCAATATACCAAAACCCAAAAATTTAGGAACAGCATAAAATACATTGGATTCAACAGAAAAATAGATATGGGGCTGCCATAATGATATTATTAAACATTTTTCTCTCTCTGTCATGAAAACATCAATCGTTTTTTAATTAAAGGAAGCATCCATAGATTCTCCAAGGTGCCCTAGAGTCCAAGTAAATGCAGAAATAAATGCAGTTTGCCACAAAACACCTGAGGTCTCATGATCAATATCTCTGTCTGAAACATTCCCTTTTCTCTTTTACAATACAAATATTTGACTGTGGCACTATAGAGTACTCTTCTATTAATGCCTATTTTTTTCTGCCAACTGCCATCAAGGCATCTTCTTTTTCACATTAGATTATTGATATCCCACCTCATCTAAAAACACTGTTAATGTTTCCCCATGTCCTGTCTTGTAGAAGGTTCAAACACTGACACCAACACTCTTCTCCACTCCCTCACCACAGCAGGCATCTGATTTCCACCAGCCAACAGAGATCTGTTCTATAGGTCTTTATAAAGAATTTAAAGAATTTATACTGTATTTATCATTGAAGTGGCTGAACACTTTTCAGTAGTGCATTACCCAAGATGACTAATGTCTGTGACCCAATATTTTGGTTTCTTATTCTCTACCTAATGGAACAATGTTTATGGTGGGGGGGGGGGGGGGGCGCATTTTTTTGTTTTGTTTTCTTGTGTTTAATATACATGTTGCTATCTGTTTATGTTGGAGAACGTCAAAAAATGTGTCTTGCACTTGGAGCTGACAGATGCATGGCATGTGATGGTCCTTAATTCATAAGGAAATTCATTCCACCCTCTTGCATGAGCCTCTGAAAGTTTTGCCTTCTTCACAGATAAAATTTACCATTATAACCATTATAAGAAAGTTGCATTGTACCATAAAACTAAATTTGTTGATCCCTGAGATTTATTGTGAATTTTAGGAATTTTTAAGATGTCTTAAACCTGGTACATTGAGCAGTAGTTGAATTTGATTTGATGTTATACAGAAAGCCTATGCAGAGAGAGTAGAGGATAAGTTTGATGAGCCTGAAGTAGCCTGCATTGTTGAGATGTACTGCAGTGTTCTGAATTAGCTGGAATTTCTTAAGTGACAAAGGCCCAAGACCATAATACGGTTTCAATAATTAACCCAATTGCTACTTTTCCTTTAGGTGTGAAGCGCAGCCCCTCAGAGATGGCAGATGGTGACATTGATGTTGCCAGTACCAATGGTCCATATAATATACATAATATGCAATATTCAGCGAAAACTTTTGACAAGCTAGCAAACCTGAGTTACTACAACATTGAGAATAACAAAGATGCACTTCTTCATGCTTTGCATATAGCAGTGGAAAAGAAAAAAAAGTGTAAGAAGTATTCACCATCTCAGACATCACTCCTCTGAGATTATTTTTCTGTATGTTGCACCACAGAGAAAGGTGCTCTACTGATTGTCCAGCACTGTGGAATACAAAGGAAATATTCTTGTGTTGCTGTTACTGAAGAAAAGGAACTGGAACAGAAAGTGACACCGGGGGTGGGGGGGGTAAGAAGAGCAGCAGCTAAAAATACAACTCAGCCTGTCATCGTAAAAATGTAATGTCTGGCTGCCAGAAAAGGGTATAAATATAAAGAATAAATCTCATTAATGAATGAATATGCTTCCATGGTGCATTTAGCCTCACCAGAGGGGCTAAATTCGGAATGGACCTGAGAACGAACTATGCTACAACTTCTACATGTGGTCTTTCAAGTCAGGGTTGAGATATCTTGGCAAAAAAATGCAAGGAAGCTTGAATTTAACAATGTTTTGCTCTACATATAGTATAAAGAGAGGACATCTGCTTACCAGGACTATAAATTCAAAACTGTAAAGGAGAACAAAATCCATTTTTCATATAACAACAAAATAATGTACTAAGATATTTTCATGTTAATGTAAATAAACATGAAGTTTTGTGCAGTTATGTGTTGGATTCTACACACCAAAAAAATCATGTTTTTAAAACAACTTCCTTCTCTATTAGCTGAGCAACTAATGACAGTGGTTACCTCTATATTCACAGCAGCTAACAAATTATTTGTAAAAGGAGATGATACAAGCATCAGAGTTCAAAACCAGACCTGAATATAAATCAGTGTCACAGTATTTTAGGGCGTTTGAATTTGGGGTTTCAGCTTAGGCCAATATCTAGTAAGATAATCCCCCTCAAAAAATTCACTAAGTGGAAGGTAATTCTGCTGACATATCAGAGATCAGAAGCCAGATAACCTTTCAAGAATATTAGTTTTAAAACCAAAAATTAGAAACCTGGATAAAGTAGAGCTAAAGATACTTGTAAAGACCCAAATTACTTTGGTTCTCCCCTTGTCTTCCTTTTACCTGTCTTTCATGTAGATATGCAAAATGCACACAGTAGAATATTGCTTTTAAAATGTATTTCATACACACTCATCTTGGACACTTTTGTCACCAAAAAGTTTTGGGTACTTTCATGTAAATGCTCTAATAACATGATCTGGATAAATAAGATTTAGATATGAGATATACTAGCTCTGTGTTTAATCTACTTGAATAACTGGCTGACCCAAGAACCTCAGAGTTTAACCTGTGTCCACCCCTAGCTCTTGGAACTCACAGACCCTACTCGCTGCCCTCTGTTTCAATCTCCTGGAGCATTTGCCCTGGATACCAACTCTGTTATGCCCCTGCTTGGAAGGACACACCTGGCAGAATCAGGATCCACTAGGGAGTAGAGAATGATTGCTTTTCTGTATTTTATTTGTCTAAGTAGGAATCTATGAAATCTTCTGTGTGTGTGCCTACACAAGACACTTTATGCGCAGTAGACTAACCTACTGTGCAGTAAAGAGTCATTATATAACCTTGCACAACAGCTACTGTGTAGTTCGCTAGTACCTGTAAATACAAGTACTAAACTAACTGTACAGTAGGTACTGCACAGTACGGTTCTTGAAGACCCATGTTTACATTTGTAACATTTGTTTAATCTTTAAGTCTTGTGTTATCAAGACTCAGATCACCAGGGTGTAACTTGAAATTCTCTATTCCCTAGTGGATCCTGATTCTGCCAGGTGTGTCCTTCCAGGCAGAGGCATAACAGAGTTGGTGTCCAGGGCAAATGCTCCAGGAGATTGAAACAGAGGGCAGCGAGTAGGGCCTGTGAGTTCCAAGAGCTAGGGGTGGACACAGGTTAAATTTGTTCTCAATCAGACACACCAGCAGGAGGCCCAGCAGCTCCCCCCAGGAGGCGATCAGCACGGGGACCAGGAGTGGGTCCCAGGACAGCTTCCCACGGGAGCAGGGAACTGAGCAGCATGGGGACAGAGTCCCTCTCTGCTCCCCACTGTCCCAGTGCTTCAGGGCTCCCAGCTTCTCACAGGAGTGGGGAGCTGAGCAGCTCTGGGACCAGGAAGCTCTTGCTTCCCCACTCAGCCAGGGGCTGGGTGGGAGCTGTCCCGCTGTGGGTGGACCGGGGGATGGAGTGGGGGGCTAGTAGCAAGTCCCCAGCTGGGTAGGGATTCCCAGCTACCCCAGGGGTGGGACAGCTCCCGCCCAGCCCCTGGCTGAGTGGGGAATCCCCACTCAGGGGCTCACTGACAGCTGTCCCAGTGGCCAATCAGGGCAAAGGGCTGGGAAAGTGTCCCCTCTTCAGCAGCTGTTTCTGGACACCTGCCCCAATCAACCGGTCAGGGCTGGGGGCCAAGAAACAGCTGTCCCCCGTGCCTTGGAGCCCAGGCCTGACCCTGATGTCCCCTGCCAGCCTTGGGCTGGCACCTGGAGGAGTCCAGAACTCTCCCTGGCTGCCATCTGGCAGGAGAGCAGAGCAGGAGTATCCCTGCCCTGAACTGCTCCTGATGGGTGCACATGTAGACATGCTGTCACGGAAAGGTTACTGCACAGGATTTTACTGCACAGTAAGCTTTCTGTGCATTAACTGCATATGTACATGCACCCTGTGTGAACTTGTGTGAAAGTAAAGAAACTGTTAAAACAACATCAGCATTGAGTATGTTTAGATTAGTTTTAATGTATGTGTGAAACTGATAAAGAAACTAAGCAGCTGTTATAAATTGATAAGGTATGTAAGGTTTTTTCCTCAGGGCATTTGCCTGGGATAAAAATTTATAGGAGTTTCAGTACCATATTTCAGAAGTCCATCTTAGTACTATGTTTAAGTTTGTAATGTTTGTTTAATCTTTAAGTCTTGTGTTATCAAGACTCAGATCACCAGGGTGTAACTTGAAATTTTAGCACCCTGGGCAGCACTAGGGGCGAGTGGAGGTGTGAGGAGTGAATGCAGGCTGCTGCCACCACACTGTAACCTCCCCAAACAGGGGGATGCAGCAGCAGCAGTGGTGGTCCTGCCTCCCTGGGGGCTGCCATTTTGGTGCCCCCTCTGAACTGGCACCTGGGACTGTTGACCATCTTGCCCTCCACAAGTTATGCTACTACAGATCATTGTCTACAAACTTCATTTCAATGCAGCAAAATTTTCCTGCTGCATTCCATACACATTTCCTCTCCTCTCCTGCAAAAAACACCTGCTCTTGCAATTCTACACTTCTACAATACAGGAAGTCATATACAGCAGTCTTTAGGAGGTTTAGTGATAAACAGGACAGATTCTTTGGTGCATTTGCTAAAACTCTCCTGCTTCCCACAGACCAACTAACTGTATTGATAATGCTGGTCTCCTATGGCTTGCAAAAAACTGAAGTGCTTTTCCTGTGAACTCCTATGTTTTCAAAATCAGGGCTTCTCTCCTTAGACGTGCATAGAAGTTTGAACATGGTCTGAAAGTCAGATGCAGCTGGATAGGAAGTCAGAAGAAGAGGAGAACTGCTTGCCTAACCATCCTGCTGCTTTCAGAAGACTCAAAGGGAGTCACAGGGAGTGATGACCAACTTTCTCAAAATTAGTGAATATTTTTCTAGCTTCATGAGTGAAATTTATTGCCTGAGAGAGCATGTCATAGAATCAGTGCCCTACAGGGTCATCCAAAGGAGCCCAAATAGCCCACTCCCCTTCATAAATGCTGGATTTGATATTACTGAACCATCTACTCAGAGGACTATCCAGTCTTTCCTTGAAAAGCTCCACTGAGAAAGATTCCACAGCTTCCCTAGGTGAACTGTTCTTACAGTTTGGAAGTTTTTCCAGAGATTTGATCAAAATCTGTTTTGCTGCAGTTTCAACCTATTGTCTCACAACCTGACCCCTGTGACAAAGGAAAATTATTTTTCCCCTCTGTTGCAGCCTTTCATATATTTGAAAGTTGCCACCATAACCTCCTTTAATCTCCTTTTCTCCAAAATAAACATACCAAGTCCATTAAACCTTCCTCATACAGCTTGCATTCCAACCTCTTTATCATCTTTGTTGCCTGTTGTACTCCAGATTTTTTGCAGCCTTCCTAAAATGCAGTGCCCACAACTGGACAGAGTGACACTGTTACTTCTGGTGTCTCATATACAATGCTTTGTTATTGTAACTCAAAACTGTATTTGTTTTTGTAAGAACATTGCCCGTAGGTGATACTACTTGGCGATACTGCTCCTGGCCTACCAATGCTGAGGTTCCAGGATCAAGACCTGTTTCTACTACAGTTATCTCCATCAGCATCTCAGCTCCTGGCCAAGCCTGTCCTTTGCATTCTTGCAGGAGGGTGGATCTGAGGTTCCTTCCAGTCCTGTGAGCAAATCACTGACTTGTATAAAATTTATGATTCATCATAACTCTCAGATTCTTTCCTGACAATGCTAAGCAAAGTTTGTTCTATACCTTTTAAATAAAAATATGCACATGATGTTAGCAAGGTACCTGCTGTTTGTTTTAGATAGATCCTCCCAAAGGTTTATTTTTAAATACCTACAGCATGGTTTTTCTTTTACATTAGATAGATCTCTGTCCAGATTACTGAAAGATTTAAACAGTATGGGGGATATACTTCCATTAAAATATATATTAAAAGTAATGGAATATATGTCTAAAATGCTGTCAAATTTAAAAATCTCAGTCAAGAGGTGATCTCTTAAAATGACATATATGATTTTATTGTTCAGTTAGCTCCACTTCAAAATGTCAATGGTATTGTATGAAACTTGGCTATAGCTAGAAAGGAATAAAGTGACTGATCTGGTTTACTGTGGCTTCAGTGAAACACTACATTACATACACGCTTCTCGGATGTTTAAGGATGGCTACACTTACTGACTTTCTAGAAAGAAGCCTGCTGGGATCTAAAGAAAAATGGGTAAGATTTTGCTGGTTGTAATCCTATATTTTATTTCTTGGTAAAATAGGCCATGACCTCAAGAACTAGATATTTATACTGGAGTAGAAATAGATGTACTTAGTTTCTGTTTAAGCAGGTTTGTGATTTTTTTAAAAGATGATTGGATCCTACAAAAGACCCAGGAACAGACATGTGTCATTCTTGCATTGAGATGTACTAGAGCATTGGAGCCTGGATTTTTCTAATCAAGTACCAGAAATAACATGTACAGCCAATTCTGTTGGTGTATTTTGGAAGTCTGGGGCCAAAGAATGATGGGATCCAGTAACTGCCAAGTATTGGTTATACATCTTTGCCCTGTGTAGAGGTGAACTGTGATCTGGATTTCTTCAGGATTCAGAGCGAGTACTGCCCTTCAGTTTTTAACTCAGTGCTTCTCCACATTTTTAGATGAGACACACCTCTCATTTGACTTGAAGCACCCCCCAAAAACTTTTCTGAACTGAGCGGTATCCCATTTAAAAAACTAAATGTATTCATTACAGTGCTTCCCTCCTTGCTGAGGAGCTAGGCTGTGAAGGCAAGGCAGTGGCCAAGCTCTCTACCTCCTCACACCTAATTATCTCTTAACTCAGCTTTTTTTAGACTCTAGATACCTTTTTTAGACTCTAGATACCCCTGGCTATGCTTGAGACACCTCTTGCAAAATGCCAGTGCTCTTTTTGCCCTACAGAAAAACGAGAGAGCTTTTTTGTGGGTAAAGAACTGAGGAAGAACACAACTATGGATTGCTATTTGAAATCCCCGAGTTTATCTCGTTAGTCGTGTTTATAAACCTAACAGCGCTACCATTGTGAACAACTCTCAAGGCACCCCAGTGACACCCTGGTTGAGAGCCATGAACGATGCGAGCCCCCAGGCAGCTGCGGCGGTGTCAGGGGCCAGGGAGGACCGAGTGGGGAGCTCCCAGAGGTGGTGGCGGCGGGGTGGTGAGCCCTGACTGGTGGTCGGTGACCACCCGCAGACGCCACCGGCAGCGTTGGCAGCGGCCAGTGGCAATCGAGGGCTGCCGGGGGTGTTGGCGTTGGGGTGGGGGGGTGGCAAGTGGCAACTGCCTGCCGGCAGCATTGACAGTGCTTTTCGTGAAGGGTGCACTGCCAATCTCAGGGGGTGCACGTGCACCCCCTACGTGTCGCCAGTGTTGAGACCCCCTGTCCGAGCACCTCACCACACCTTTCAAAAGGTTGCACGGGACCCCAGGATGCCCTGGCTGGCATCCCCGGCTGAGACTCACTGGCTTAACTGAGTAGTTCAGGATAACACGACGGGTTGGCTGAGGAGGAGGGAGAGGTTTTGCAGCGCTGTTGCGCCCAAGTCGCTGCAGGCGTTGGCTAGGGGCCCTCGCGATGTCTCCTGTGCTGAAAGCAGGGATTCTCAGCCGGGGCCCAGGAGATCCTCTCAAGGGCCGGGCGAGGGCAGAAAGGGGTGGGTAAAGCCCTGGGGAGAAGGGACGCGTTTGTCCAGCAGGGCTGCCGGGTTGGAGTGCATCCGAGTCCCAAGCGCTTTCGGCGAGACTGAGCCGCCACCCTTCACAGCCGCTCATTCGGGCTGTGAGGTGAAGCGCGGGAGGGGG